GGAATGAGATACCACGTGAGGACATTGACCACCTGATCAGAAGCATGCCTAGGCGCGTTGGAGAATGCGTAGCACATCAGGGTGCATCCACACATTATTAAAGGTCAAAGGGCTTTAAAGTAGTGCAATCATTTTGAAATTTTTATCATTTACTTATTATGCTTCATTAAGTACTTATACAAAATTTTATTAAGATCAAACCATTTAAACTGGGTGTTCGGATTTATATGTATATGTCACTTAGTATATTTTAGTACGAGACAGTAAACATTTTCATTATTATGTACATGGTAACCGGGAGTTAAATATTTAAGATAAAAAATGTTGCTAAAAGTCAGTAAAGTACTTGCATTTTTTCAACAAAGGAGCTTTTTTTAGTATAAGTAGCTTCTTTCAGTCGAAGTTTATGGGAAGGCTGTGATGTCACACAAACTTCTGCAAAATGGTTAAAAATACAAGTGGTAAAACTTGCTTACACATTGGCGATAGGGCACGGTAAATATCTATTATGAAACTAAATTTGAATCTTATTTAAGCATCCAACCACAAGGTAAAAATGTCAGAAATCAGATTCGGATGATTTGTGAATGAACGATTTGAAATCGCGTAGGTTCTGCTTGACTAGTACGTGTAGTATATTACACGAGCTATTTTTAATCGGCATAATTCCAATTGTACTGGTAAACGTTTCTCATGTTACAGCAATTATGCAATTGATGTAAGCAGGTCAATTATAAATTGCAGAACTGACTTGTGATATCTGCATAAAACAAGTACGTCTTTAAGAAATACAAACATCCCGCCTGCAGTAGCTGAATTCTTAATTGTACCATTAAGGCTAATCTATGAACACCTCAAATGTCAAAATGCTTCAAGCTGTTTGGTTTGTAGCCGGTGAAATAGAAATTTCAAGGTTGAATTTTAACATTTTGATTTTATAAAAATTTGATAGTATTCCCCGGCTGTCAAGGAAAGGTGTAGAGGCACGTCATGCTCCAAAATCCGTCAAGTTTAAACTGTGGCCTATAAAGTAGGTATTTCAAGTTCCTATATGTCAAAATCCAACACCCCGTTTGAGCAGTAACCTGTGAAATAGGAATCTTACGATTGATTTTTTTAATAAAATCCGGCATTTTGTTTCTTCTAAACTTCTAAAATCAATACAGCGATAACTCATATGTCAAAGTTCATCAGGCCGTTTGACCTGTAACTCTTGAAATAGATTTTTTTAGATACATACCTACGCACGAAAAACATTCAGATGCGTTCCGCTTGTACTAATAAATATCGGACCTTTGGAGGACTTTGTATGCTTTTGGTCTCTTCAAAAATTACAGCCTGAGGATTTTATAAACGTTTCAGACTTCAAAAAATAAGCTTCACGAAGTGATCGATCGCTGCATGATAAGTTCCGTAAGTACGTCTATGAATACACACTAGGGCATGCAATTATTATCGTAATCCGATAATCGATAAAACAGTTATCGTTTTTTTTTTGATAAGAAAAAGTTATCGGTTTTATTTGAAAACAGCTTTTTTACGTATATCGTGGGGAAAAGGGATCTATTTTTTTTGTTCTGTTATTGGCACTGCTCGATGACCAGCTGGCCAGATTCTTATTTTCCACATATACAGGGTATCCGGAAAAAAGTGTGCAATATTCTACCAGCGGTTTCTAGAGCTTAAAATTGGAAGGAAAGTTTATATAAACATAGGTCGACAAACGTCCCCTAAGGGCGCTACGGTCTTTTATAGGGGCTTCCCTGAAGATGGTTTTTCCTTAATATTTCCGAAACGTGTTGAGATAAAGAGATAAAATTTGGTATTCTAGCCTAATTTTTTATGCTGGATTTAAAAATATTTACAATTTTAGTCAGTTTTATTTTGAAGCGTATGTAACAGAGACGGACTCAGGTTACTTTAGCCCCAACATTTTTGGGTGATTATATTTTTGAAATTCAATTTTAGAGTTTGAAAATTTAGGGTTTTCTACATAAAAAAGGTACTCTTATTGAATATCGAAAAATTGTGCCATTTTTGAATAAAATCAAACTAAAAAATTTGTCACATGATAGGAAATGTGCTGCGAATTTAAATGAATTGTTGAATAATTAGCCATGGCAACGAAAAAACTAATTTAATAATTGGTAAATATTACATAAATAAATATTTCTGTTGCAACATAGCTAACATTTAGGCAAAAACAAAAGAAATAAATTTTTCCTACGAATGAAATTGAAATTTGTTTAAAAAAGAAGACATACAGTTGGATATACTTAAAACTAGCTTTACAATAAGTGTTCAAATAAATTCCCATTTTGTTGGTTACAGAGTCTCGGTCGACGAACTAATGATTGCGTAGCCCGAAAAGTGGAAAACGTTTTTCTTCTTAGTTCATTTGCAGCCTGATAGATTCTTTGAAGTAAATCTTCTTGAGTATTTACTTCAGTCGAGTAAACTAGGTCTTTAAATGACCCCCAAAAATAGAAATCCAATGGATTTAGGTCAGGTGAACGTGGCGGCCACGCTATATGACCTCCTCGGCCTAACCACCTGTCTGGAAAATTGACATTCAACCAATTTCGAACATTGCTTCCAAAATGTGCAGGGGCGCCGTCATGTTGAAAAAACATATTTTCTGCTGGCGCACATCCAATGGTATTATATCCATGAGCTCATTCTCTCATAAGTTCAATGAAAATCTATGGAAATTAAAAGCACCACTGCTAGTAAATATTGACTCATCCGACCATACTATTCTAGGAATAGTGTTTTCATTTGCTAATATCCACCGGCAAAACTCGATTCGTGGTAAAAAATCTGCCTCCGTTAAATTCTGCACCCGTTTAAAATGATAAGGAGGTAATCCTTGCATTCTTCTCATTCTTCCTATCTAAAATTATTATTTTTAGGATAACTATCAAATGGGTATTCATACATTTTTCTTACTATTGATCGAGGTATATCCATATTTTCTGAAACATTTCGTATGTTTATTTGAGGATTATTTTCAAACATATTTAAAGCAATTTCCATACGATGATTTCCCAGTGGCCTTCCTGAGCCCTGCATGCACTGAAAACTTCCATGGTTTGACAAAATCCGGTGAACATCTGTAAACATTCAACATCCAGGTACTATGCGATTGGGAAATCTTCTTTGATATTCTCTTACGGTTGCCAATGGACTGCCATTGGAAAACCCGCACACAAAATGCATGTCAGTCAGTTCTCTGTCTGTAAATCTTGGCATTTTAAATCGATTTAATAAAAATTTTGATTTCAATCTAGTAATTTTACAATGCTAACAATGTCAGCTTAACGTCAAAATAAATCATAACAAATCAAAACAAGTTTTGTTTGCAGTCATGGCTAACTGTGTATAATCAACAATTCATTTATATTCGCAGTACATTTCCTATCATGTGACAAATTTTTTAGTTTGATTTTATTCAAAAATGGCACAATTTATCGATATTCAATAAGAGTACCTTTTTTATGTAGACAACTCTAAATTTTCAAATTCTAAAATTGAATTTTAAAAATAGAACCACACAAAAATTTTGGAGCTAAAATAACCTGAGTCCGTCCCTGTTACATACGCTTCCAAACAAAACTGTCTAAAACTGTTAATATTTTTAAATCCAGCATAAAAAACTAGGCTAGAATACCAATTGTATGTCTTTACCTCAACACGTTTCGGAAATATTAAGGAAAAACCATCGTCAGGGGAGCCCATTTAAAAGACCGTAGCGCCCTTAGGGGACGTTTGTCAACCTATGTTTATATAAACTTTTCGTCTTACTTTAAGCTCTTGAAACCGCTGGTAGAATATTGCACACTTTTTTCGGGACACCCTGTAAAAGTAGAATATCATTACTTAATAGTACCACTATGCTATTTCAATTATATCTACATAGAGTATACGAACAATTATATTACTCTGTTTTTTAGCAGGTTTCCTTTTTTTGTTTAACCAATATTTTTTATTATTATTTCCTCTTTTCAAATTTGTTTGCAAGATTGGACAACCATTCTTTTCTATTGCTATTTTTTCCTGTTTTTTCTTTTCAATTTTTTTCAACATTGATATTTACTTTATACTGATATATTATTTTTAAATTATTTTGTTGTTTTCATACATTTTTTTCAAACAAACTTTTTCAAAAACATAGCTATGAAAATTAAAGGTAGTGTTCACCTTATCAGCAATCCTTATCCTATTTTATATTACACCTATTTTATACAGAACTCGATGACGTCCTTTATCTTCAATTCGCCTCGATTTTGTTATTTTTATCATTTAACAAACCAGCGACCGACTACAGTGTCAAGTGACATTGAAATGAACAAATGACAGAGTGCGGAATGCATTGTATTGTTCGGAAATTTCGAGATTTGACTACATGACAGTCGTCGTTGTGAAAAATATATCATTGTTTATCGATTATCGATATTTATTGTTTTTAATTCCGATATTTTCCGTTTTTCAAACTGAATCGATAATCGATAAATAACCGATTGTCGGTTATCGATTTGCATGCTCTAATATAAGCCAATTATGATTTTTAGAAGACTTAATTCTATCAAAACACGTCACATTTAGACTTGTAGGACTTTTCTGGTGAGATGCTTGGATTTGAGAACGGTTTCTTTGTCAGCAACATTATTTTATGTTTTTCTGATCGCTGAATGAAGCCGCATTATGTTGGATTAACTGTTTAGCAACGTTTCGGTCACTTCGGAGATTTATTAGCACAGCAACTACTGTATAAAATGCAGATATTAAAAAGGAGAGAGAGCACGGAGTAAGACATACAACTGTTAGAAAAGGCGCCAATACTTGAAAAAGAATTCGGTTGGAGTTTTGTTCAAATATTATTTTATATTATACGCAAAAAATAAAATTTATGTAGCTCATCATTATCGTTAACCATCAAGATACATTGTATAATAATATAAAGATGTCACCACATGTCCATTTACGATGTTAATGAAATATTTTCTAAAGCTTACCCTACTACTCCAGGGGCTAAAACTTCTGATTGCGCTGCTAAGGTTTCGGCTATAGTGTCTTCTGAATATAATTTGACAGGTGTATTGTACTGCTTGTTTACTAATCTCGGTCCACCGTTCAATGACCCGTTCACCTGTAATCAATGCAAAATCTAGCATGTAACAAATCAAGCATACGAGGGATGTCTTTTAAGTTTTGCATATAGAAACATAGTAGGCCGCGCGGATGGAACGTCAGTACTTAATATTAACCTCACTCTTTAGTAAACTTAAATTCAAAGTTTCACAACAATACGTGCAGTGTTCTCACTACAGTGAATTTTTAAGTGTCATCAAGTCATTAGAAAAATGGAACTCAACCGAGGACATTTTCGCGCCATAATTTATTGCAACATTCAGAGACAATTATCGCAACAAAAATGCCTTGTTGAGTTACTGTCTGTTTTCGGCAACGAAGCGCCACATCAGTCGACAATTTCCCGTTGGTATCTTAGCGACGATCCCAAGAAAACGTCGATGCTCTGCGCAAACTCATCATTGAAGATAGACATGTGACATATCGTGAGATTGAGGCGTCCTTGAAGATCTCAAAGACCTCAATTCAAAAAATTTTACATGAAGAATTAGGAGTAAGAACATTAGTTTCTCGTTGGATACCCCACCTGTTGATGAATCATGGATTTACTGTTATGAACCAGAAAATGAACGAGTCGGATGTTTGGGTGTTCCAAGGTGAAGAAAAGCCAACAAAAGTCATCCGTTCTCGAAGTGTTTCGAAAAAGATGGTCGTGTCATTTGTGTCAAAAGCGGGTCATATTGCAATAATTCCTCTTGAAGAACAAAGAACTGTTACTGCGGATTGGTATACCACCATTTTTTTGCGAAAAGATATCACCAAGCTTCGAAAAATCAACCACGAAAGTAGAATCATCCTCCACCAAGACAATGCAAGGTCGCACACAGTCCAAAAAACAAGGCAGTATTTAACGGAGGAATACGTGGAATTATTGGACCATCCTCCATATAGCCCCGATCTAAGTCCTAACGATTTCTTTACTTTCCCGAAAATTAAAAACAGACCGCGTGGTCAAAGGTTCCAGTCACCAGAAGAAGCAGTTGACGCATTCAAAAATGCCGTTTTGGACCTGCCAGCAAATGAGTGGAATAAGTGCTTCGAAAATTGGTTGGAGCGCATGCAGATGTATATTAATCTCCGTGGAGAATACTTCGTAAAACAATAAGACATCCCTCGTATTGACTTGATACACAGCAAATACACAAATCCTCCGAGTATCATTATTGATAAATTTAATCCCAAAATAGATACTGACGATCTTAGTCAGAATTATAACCTCTTGAGTAAGAAGTTTATCAGATTTAAACCCTAAGCAGCGTAATGATTTCTTAGAACGTGATGACATTTTTTAAAGACCTCCATCCCAAGAATCCAAGAAATTGAAAGCACATCCTAAAATAAGCTTTACTTTTAAACCTTTATAACTATCTAAAAATGTCTTAAATATTCATAAAGTGAAAACCAGTGAAAATATATAACCTATTTTTTTGCGCCCATGGGTCTATGGCCAGTGTAATTATATGAAAAAATAGCGTCAAGTAGGTTGACTCTCCATTTCCCCGCATCGCTGTGATTAGTTCATGAAGGATTAAGTTTAACACAAATTAAACCTCCTGAGAAAACAATTAGTTATGAATAAGTACAATAGAGAAATTAAACGGATCAAGTCAGGCAAACAGACCCATACAATAAGTCCATAGCGCTATCGGTAGTTCCCATCCATCTGGCATCTCTGCAATATGAGCAGATGAATCAAGCATGCCGTTACGCTGCGCGCTGAGCCGAGATAGCAGAAGCAAACGCGTATCAAAAATATTCCTCGAAATTTTAATGAGAAAAGCACGGAGAAACCTATGATGTGTGATATCTGGCTAATATGTGCCTCGAATTACCGGGGTTGGGAGTATATAAATAGACTAACATCAAAAAATTGACATATACCCTCCCCCACCCATCTACAACCCCCCTAATTTTTTATCCCTCAGATTTTTTTCGAAAATGATCATGTTTCCCTGGAACACCAAAAAAACGTTTGCGTGATTTTAAATTTTTTCGGTTTCGGCCGCCGCTACTAAACGTATTTTCAAAAAGTTCAGAGCTTTCTTGTCCTTGACGTAGTAGCAACATTGTGTGAAAATTTCATCCAAATCCGTGCAGGACTTTCCAAGTTATACAGGAGCCAAGGATCACCGGACAGATCGGCAGACCGACAATCCGATGGAAATGGGTGACATGATTCTTCGTGATGTACATGTTAACATCAAAAAAACATATATCATTTTCGAAATGTTTCGCGATCACAATATTTCCTCGCCCAGTTGCGTAGGAAGTAAAAATAGATCAAGATTTCCAAGGGGGGCTTTAGCCCCAAAGCCCCCCCTTAGAATGCGCCAGTGATAATGATTTTCTCTAAAGAGAATTTGTCTAAAAAAAAGACATTTTTTAAACGGCAAGTACATGCAAATACAGGCAATAGAAAATAAGCTAAAACCTCAAACCTGAAAATATCTCGCAACTCCCAAATTTGACAAAAGCTTTAAATATACTAAGTGACATATAAATCCGAACACCCAGTTTAAATGGTTATATTTTAATATAATTTTGTATAAGTACTTAATGAATAAGTAAATGATAAAAATTTCAAAATGATTGCACTGCTTTAAAGCCCTTTGACCTTTAATAATGTGTGGATGCACCCTGATGTGCTACGCATTCTCCAACGCGCCTAGGCATGCTTCTGATCAGGTGGTCAATGTCCTCCTGTGGTATCTCATTCCAGGCAACCACCAACTCCTCTCGAAGTGCTGAGGAGGACGTTGCAAATTGAGCAATCTCCTACCCATCATATCCCACACGTGCTCAATTGGGGATAAGTCGGGAGATCTTGGTAGCCATGGTAACAATGTGACATCATTATGTTGAAAGAAGTCTATTGTGACTCTTGCAACATGTGGTCGGGCATTATCTTGTTGGAAAGTTTGATCTGCCAGGGTGTCAACATAGGGTAAAAGATGGGGTTCTAGAACTTCGTGGATATAACGCTGCGCGTTTATGTTACCTCTGACGAAGATTAAAGGTGACCTGAAACCATAAGCTATAGCACCCCAAACCATAACTCCAACAGTGTGATGAACATGTCTTTCAACAAAAAACTGTGGATTCCTCCTTTCACCACGTCGCCTTCTAACCCTGGCACGACCATCGTGCATGCCTAAACAAATTCGAGACTCGTCACTAAAGACGATACTGTTCCATTCCTGATCCCAGAGTGACCGTTGTCTGCACCACTCAAGGCGATTACGTCGATGTTCTCGAGTTAAAGGGAGGACCCAGTGTGGCCGGTATGAAAACAAGCCAAAACTTCTCATTCGTCGATAAACACTTCGCATGCCAATAGGTCTTCCGGGTCCTGCAAACCATTCATTTGCAATGGACCTGGTAGTGGAGAAACGGTCCCTTAAGGCCAATAATCTTAGGCGGCGATCTTCACGGTCTGTTGTTCTACGGCGGCGTCCAGTGCCCCTTGCTCTTTGCGTACGGCCTTCTCGAAGCCATGCCTGACAACACCTAACCACAGTGTCTACACCTCTTTGCACTCTAACTGCAATTGCCCGAAAAGAAAGTCCAGCTTCCCGAAGTCCCACTATACTGCCCCTATCAAACTCACTAAGTCGACGAAATCGTACAGGTCTCCGTACTCTAGGCATCGTAACCGATCGTAAAGGATGTCAAGAACCAAAAACCGCCAACGTTGATTCTTTACTGCGGCTGAAATATTCATTTTTAGAGCGTTAGTGAATTAAAAAAAAGCAGTATAAAAACCGGAATGTCCAACTGATAAGGCTGAACATTTTTTCACTTGTTATTTACAGTAAGATAAATACATTCACCAACTTTTATTAAAATAAAACCATTTAAACTGGGTGTTCGGATTTATATGTCACTTAGTATATTTTTAAAGACAAGCTTTTATTCAGCTGTTCATGGAATTAACTAAAACATTTTTTCCGATTGGAAATATTTAAACAGTAACTAAACTCCTTCATCTCAGGTATGTTAATTTTGACAGCATGATGGAAAAAGGGTGTAACAAACATTTATTTGTAAACTTGAGATCAGGGAGCTGTCATTTAGTATACGTATACATGTTCTGAACTCTTTAAATGCAAAAAATTCATAGTTTCTATCGACTTGAAATTTGAGCTATTTTCAGGGTCGACCTTGATCCTTTATCATTTTTCTAATCACGGACTTTTATACAATGTCCCTAAAATGATAGCTATCATTCTCTGACTCACCTGCGGCGCGAACGGTTTTGCTGACAAGTTGTGTCCGGTGCCGACGGCTCCAAAGTTGTCACCTTTGGGTGCGGCGAGCGACGTCCTGGTCACGGGGCTGATGTTGTTGGAAATGATGGGAGAGGGCGCTGGTACGTGTCCTGTGGGAGTCACTGACGGCCGCCACGTCAGTCCGCCCCTGAAACGCGATAAAATAGTATCTAGCGCAGTTGTCACGCTTTACTAAAAGAGCCACAAATAGGTAGTTCCTGGTAGTCAAGCTATTAGCGATAAATCATATATTATTTGAAAGATTAATGAATAAATGAGATAGGAGGCATAACGGCCACCATGAGTAACTGACGCATAGGGCCCTTATGCATCACTACATTTCCTAAGCCTCAAGGTCCGCCCTTCTAGCGAAGTTGAGTATAGCACTGCGTCCCTCCTTCTTAACATTCTGGGGATTCAAGGTGTTATAGAAGCTCAGACCCTCGTAGCGACACAGAACATGCACCAGGGACTCTTCCTCTACCCCGCTGCGTCTACACATGGGATCCTCAGCCACTCCCATCACATGAAAGTGACGCCTCATTTTGTCAGTCAACAGTTCCATTAACAACCTTAGGTTAGCTCTATCTAAAGATAAGCAAAAGTCTCCATGCTTAGCACTGGGCCCTGAGATGAGCTCTTGGGCCTTACGGAGATGCATAGAGATTTTCCCCATTTTAGAGGGCGTTGTCCAGAAATTTCTCCGTTATCCTCCTGACTTCGCGGGAACCCCCAGGGGTGAAGCGGGACCAACAAGGCTATTCTCCCTCCAGAATACCGGTGGATCACAGGTATATATTGTGTAAGACTGATCGACAGATTCCAAATTAATACGCTCGGAATCCTAGGCATGCTAATTGGGCAACCTTTAGGGCAGATCTTGATAGTAGGCTTGCAGCGTCTCCAAACAGGCTCTGTTATAGAAGCAACTGTGGAGTCTCTGAACATGGATCTGATAGCTTCGTATGACGAAACCTGCCCGCTGCGCAAAGTTCAAGGTAATCGCAAAGCAACCTTCTGTCCTAAGGAGCTAGAGAATAGGAACCGAGCTGTACACAAATTTCTTAGTAGAGAGGCTCTCCCTAATGGGAAGAGTACAAGTACTCAAGGGTAGAGGAAGATACCTCGGCATAGTTCTGTATCGATGTGAGGCTCTGAGCTACTACAGGCAGGCTATACTGGGGTCCATCACTTTGGACCTCCAGAACGTTGAGGAGGTCCATTCATGCCGACTGCGCAAGCTAGAATCGTATATATTTCCGTCTGGAAAATAGTAGCAGTAAGAGCCTACTTCTGTGTGTGTACCAGTCTTGTCCACTTCTTTTGGGGACCTCCTGGATTCAGGTATCCCACTCTACCCTCCGCAGCTACTCCACATTAAACTTGTAGTTAAAGCGATACTGAGAGATGGTCACCCACGCTCAGAAGAACGGGATTCTCTTTGAGAGAATTCATGAAGGCCCAGCTGCCCTCCACAGTCGACTATTCTCGCCTCTCCGCGGACCCTTGACTCCAACGGTGGAGATGCAGCAGAGCTTTCATTGCACTCAATGGTCTGGTCCGCACTGCGCTTATTGTGTCAAGTTTAACCGTAGTTGTATCGGTTCCAATGCAACGCCACCAAACCAAGAATCCATACAAAAGAGATGAACATACTATCATCGCATAGAGCCGTTGTACCACTTTGCGAGCCATGTTAGTCTTGTACTCAACATGCTCTTTCCAATTCATGAGTAAGAACTCTTCATGTAAAATAAGAAATACTGCATCGTTGTCCGACCAGAGTATTGCTATATCAATTTTGACGATTCTTATGCCAGTGCTACTCAATTATTTGCAGGTTTTTATTTCTTTACTTCGTAATATTGTTATTTCAATTTTATTTTCTAAAAAACAGAAGACAATCGTGGGCAGATCCGCAATAAAGGAACAGGAGCAGTATTAGAAGGATTGGTATCCCGAGCGACGTACGTTTCTGCATACTGGCTTCATCGTGCCCAAACGGATGTGCATCGAAAACACTGAAGTGAAAACACATGCCCATCTCATCTGGATACGGGTGTAACCTGAAGAGGAACAATGATGGAAAGAGAAGAAGCCATCAACTAGAGCCAGCATTCACATTTGTGGATAATCCCCTAAATTTGTGGCTCCTCACATTTGGGGCTCTGGTCAGAAGACCTGGTGTTTACAAGGTATCAACCAAAGTCACCACGAAGCCTACCTGCAGAGGGACTTCAAGCCCATCAGTAGATATAAAGAAAGACTTAGGCGACAAACAAAGGACAGTCGTGTACATGGACTTTGGATTAATCAAGTTGCCTCATATTGGCCTCATTCTCGTGCTAATGATTCAGTTTAGCATCACATTAAAAGAGAAACCAGATTTTCTTAAACAAACCAAGTAAAAAAACGTAGCCAAGGGTAATCTATTCTTGCCTTATAAACAATTAGTATCGGTTGAAAGTCGTACACTCGTATAGACGAAATTCGTACAACTTTGGCAACGCTGTGGAAACAGTCTATTCAAAAAGAGCTAAAATGTCAAAGTTCAAGTGGTCATAGTAGATGAAAATAGGAGATATTGGGCAGCTGACCAAGAAATTACGAACAAGGTCATCGTTGATTTGAGGAATTAGCTTTTCGGGACACATACTTACAGGGTGGTATCCCTATCTTACTATACAACTATAAGCTGACATATCATTATAGAGGCTGAATGAGAAGTACAAAATTGAAGTGAGGAAGTGAGTAATCAGCAGGGGAAGGAGTTGAATTAACTGCTGACCATTTTGTTTTTTGCTATTTTCAAGTCTATTATACTGACCTCTGTACTGTCATTTCGAAAGCTGGTCCTGCTCTGACAACTACATCTTGTGCATCCTTGTGTCTTAGATTGTATACATCAATATTGTTTATTTTGATCACCGCATCCCCTGGAGTTAGTCCAGCTCGTTCAGCTGGCGATCCGGGGTTAACCTGAAAAAAGAAAAAAAGATAGGGGTTGCTCCTACAGGACCGTAATAACTAGATAAATAATACCTAAATAAAATCGAAGCCTCAGTAGCTTGGTTCAAACCTTCGCCTCGAATGATCAATACCGAGCCAAAAGCTTTGAGTTCTCAAAAAATCGTCCAGGTGTGGCGGAGAAAAAGGACAAAAACAAAACAAAAATCGACAAAACTTCATGTTTTGACGTTTTGGAGATCCTGTTCATTTTCAGGAAAACATCTGTAGAGGTTGAAAATCGGGTTTGCGGGTTGTAGAGTGTGGGGAAAAGTATGTCACATTTTGTTCGCGGCAGTATATTTATGCGTTTTAAGTCTTAGAAATTTTACACACCTATCACTACAGATTCCACATGAATATTTCCCCGTACCTTTGTGCTTAGGACTTGGAGAAGTATTTATAGATGTGACACGCAGTCGGTCAAGACGATGCGATGTAACGGCGACTTTCATATGCCGAACCATGCCTTGAGTCTGACCAACATCGTTGGCAGGGATGTTATAGTATCGTGGCTGCCGCTTTTGACCTATTTAACTGGTGTGGCCCAGCAGCGTTGCCAGATGGGCAGGGAAGAATCTGGCGTAATGTGGATTATGGAGTATGTACTAATTATATGTAGGCCTGTTTGGCTGACTTGACCCATTTGATTTTTTTGTTATACATGTTTGTAGCTAACTCTCAAGGACTAACGTTGGCCGAACATGAACTGATGCCATTTTGTATAGTACGTCAATGCTGGTGATGATGGGACGCGTCTGTGATTGGCGGATCCACTCATGGTAGGTCGCAGTCTCGCCTTTATTTTTCGTATATCCGACCAATTGCTGACGTTGCGTTACCTGGCAATTTGGGATCGATACCAAAATCCCAAAAGACGGTTAATCATCAGAGGAATCTGAAAAATTTCGCCAACATACGTAACCATTATTAAATCGATCTATTCAAAGAAAATGAACCTGGAAAATAGCGTGGGCTGCAAAAAATAGCGTTCTGATACGTCATTATGGTGTCGTCACAAAATTAGAATGTTCAACGTGAACGAAAAATGATTACAGCGAATGAGAGCGGTACAAAAATAGCACCAAGCTTGTTTTCGTTATCGGTGTAGTATGAATTTCCTCGGGAAATTATGTGTGTGTATGTAATTTATGAAAAGTCAGAAAGTTACTGGTTATGCATAGTACGCAGATTAGGTTGTTTAATTTTCTGCATCTAAAAGCCATTAAAACCTTTTTGTAAAAAGATTTAGACGCCTCAGGTAGCATAAATACATTTTGAATAGCTATAATAACAACTTTGAAGTTTGAAATAAATAATTACAAGCGATAAGCCCCTACATTTTTTTAGACTCAAGGACAAACTGTCATGGAATTCTGTCTCAAATATACTAAGTGACATATAAATCCGAACACCCAGTTTAAATGGTTTTATTTTAATAAAATTTTGTATAAGTACTTAATGAAACATAATAAGTAAATGATAAAAATTTCAAAATGATTGCAATGCTTTAAAGCCCTTTGACCTTTAATAATGTGTGGATGCACCCTGATGTGCTACGCATTCTCCAACGCGCCTAGGCATGCTTCTGATCAGGTGGTCAATGTCCTCCTGTGGTATCTCATTCCAGGCAACCACCAACTCCTCTCGAAGTGCTTCTAGAGTCTGAGGAGGACGTTGCAAATTGAGCAATCTCCTACCCATCATATCCCACACGTGCTCAATTGGGGATAGGTCGGGAGATCTTGGTGGCCATGGTAACAATGTGACATCATTATGTTGAAAGAAGTCTATTGTGACTCTTGCAACATGTGGTCGGGCATATCTTGTTGGAAAGTTGGATCTGCCAGGGTGTCAAGATAGGGTAAAAGATTCTAGAACTTCATGGATACAACGCTGCGCGTTCATGTTACCTCTGATGAAGATTAAAGGTGACCTGGAACCATAAGCTATAGCACCCCAAACCATAACTCCAACAGTGTGATGAACATGTCTTTCAACAAAAAACTGTGGATTCCTCCTTTCACCACGTCGCCTTCTAACCCTGGCACGACCATCGTGCATGCCTAAACCAAAATCGAGACTCGTCACTAAAGACAATACTGTTCCATTCCTCATCCCAGAGTGACCGTTGACTGCACCACTCAAGGCGATTGCGTCGGTGTTCTCGAGTTAAAGGGAGGACCCAGTGTGGCCGGTATGAAAACAAGCCAAAACTTCTCATTCGTCGGTAAGCACTTCGCATGCCAATAGGTCTTCCGTGTTCTGCAAACCATTCATTTGCAATGGACCTGGTAGTGGAGAAACGGTCCCTTAAGGCCAATAATCTTAGGCGGCGATCTTCACGGTCTGTTGTTCTACGGCGGCGTCCAGTGCCCCTTGCTCTTTGCGTACGGCCTTCTCGAAGCCATGCCTGACAACACCTAACCACAGTGTCTACACTTCTTTGCACTCTAACTGCAATTGCCCGGAAAGAAAGTCCAGCTTCCCGAAGTCCCACTATACGGTCCCTATCAAACTCACTAAGTTGACGAAATCGTACAGGTCTCCGTACTCTAGGCATGTCAAGAACCAAAATCCGCTAACATTGATTCTTTATTGCGGCTGAAATATTCATTTTTAGAGCGTTAGCGAATTAAAAAAAAGCAGTATAAAAACCGGAATGTCCAACTGATAAGGCAGAAAATTTTTTTACTTGTTATTTACAGTAAGATAAATACATTCACCAACTTTTATTAGAATAAAACCATTTAAACTGGGTGTTCGGATTTATATGTCACTTAGTATATATACGAAAAGTAACATATTCACACTGTAATATTATCTCAAAAACATTCTTGTTCTACTTTCAAATAAGCAAACCATACCTATAAGAAATGCTACTTATAGTATAATTAAAAACTAAATTGACTGTTCACTTTTTTCAGTTTGCTAGATCCGAGCTATAATTGACTAGATTATCCAGCCTACATTGTCTTATGCCATTTCACGATGTCAAATCAGTTGACAAAACTTCAGAAACTCCTGACAAAATTTTCTCATCTCAAGAACGTGACACCTTTGGACTTTATCGAGGAGTTGACCAAGGATATAAAAGAGACCGATGTTAAAGGAGACGATACCATCTACGACGTTTTTCTGCAATTCGTGAGTCATGACTCCTTCCTTGACAAATTGGCCTTGGACTTCAAAAATAAAAGGAGTATCAAATTGGCGAATCATGCCCACATGAAGCAAGTCATCTTCTTCATAATGTTCCTTTTGAAAAAAGAAAATACTAGAGAAATTAACGGTAATACCACATTCTACATTAAGCCTCTTTTGGAATTTTTATCTTCAGATGAAATTTATCCTGTCATTGCTACTATAGCTTGCTCTTATTTTGAAAACGACTATGCATTGAACAAAATCATATATCCTCTTATGAACAAGGCTCCATTAATTCAACAAGTCCTGCAACGTATTGAAAAAGACGAGAAACCCAAAGTCGTGAAGGTACGACCCATTCCAGTACAGAAAGATAGAAATTCATTTGAACTAAAGGTACCTAGACCCCCTTTCAATACTCCTAAATGTCTATCTGATGAAAAAATGCGTCCTGTGATGAGCTATAAGCCGAGGCAAGCTGATATGGAGAAGCTACACCAAGAAAACTACAAGAAGGCGTTAGGTATTCTTGAAGAAGCCTCGAAGGTATCCAAAAGACTTACAGAACCAAAAAAGATACCCCCACCAGAGCCAGTGCAGAAATATATAATAAAACCTAAGAAAGTTCCTCCCAAAAGAGATGTTGAAATCAAAGGTAACCTCACCACTACCTTGAGAGAAGCTGCACGGCTTCTTAAAGAACGAGACGATGAAGTAAATAAAATCGAAGATCTGATTCGTGGAGGATGCGACCATCTCAAAGTGCTGGAGCTCGAAGATCAAGAAAGAAGGGACGCTGAACGAAAAGAAGTGGAGGATATACAGCGTAAGCATCTTCAAGGCCTACTGACATATGAAGAGGCCATATTAGCAAAAAAGAAGGTCGTAGAGGTAAACAAAATGAAGACGCTAGAGATGAAACTGTTCAAAATGGATCTAGCTGATCAGCTGGAAAAGTGGAAAGAAGAACAGAACGAGAAGATTAAAGCTCAAGTGGAGAGGTGCCAGAAGCTGAGACAGGATACAAAGGAGAGAGAGAAAAAAATGCAGGAAGAAAAACAGGAGCAAGTCCGGATGTTGCAGTATGAAACCAAGGTCAGTTATATACTAAGTGACATATAAATCCGAACACCCAGTTTAAATGGTTTTATTTTAATAAAATTTTGTATAAGTACTTAATGAAGCATAATAAGTAAATGATCAAAATTTCAAAATGATTGCACTGCTTTAAAGCCCTTTGACCTTTAATAATGTGTGGGTGCACCCTGATGTGCTACGCATTCTCCAACGCGCCTAGGCATGCTTCTGATCAGGTGGTCAATGTCCTCCTGTGGTATCTCATTCCAGGCAACCACCAACTCCTCTCGAAGTGCTTCTAGAGTCTGAGGAGGACGTTGCAAATTGAGCAATCTCCTACCCATCATATCCCACACGTGCTCAATTGGGGATAAGTCGGGAGATCTTGGTGGCCATGGTAACAATGTGACATCATTATGTTGAAAGAAGTCTATTGTGACTCTTGCAACATGTGGTCGGGCATTATCTTGTTGGAAAGTTGGATCTGCCAGGGTGTCAAGATAGGGTAAAAGATGGGGTTCTAGAACTTCGTGGATATAACGCTGCGCGTTCATGTTACCTCTTTCACCACGTCGCCTTCTAACCCTGGCACGACCATCGTGCATACCGAAACAAAATCGAGACTCGTCACTAAAGACAATACTGTTCCATTCCTGATCCCAGAGTGACCGTTGTCTGCACCACTCAAGGCGATTACGTCGGTGTTCTCGAGTTAAAGGGAGGACCCAGTGTGGCCGGTATGAAAACAAGCCAAAACTTCTCATTCGTCGGTAAACACTTCGCATGCCAATAGGTCTTCCGTGTTCTGCAAACCATTCATTTGCAATGGACCTGGTAGTGGAGAAAAGGTCCCTTAAGGCTAATAATCTTAGGCGGCGATCTTCACGGTCTGTGGTTCTACGGCGGCGTCCAGTGCCCCTTGCTCTTTGCGTACGGCCTTCTCGAAGCTATGCCTGACAACACCTAACCACAGTGTCTACACTTCTTTGCACTCTAACTGCAATTGCCCGAAAAGAAAGTCCAGCTTCCCGGAATCCCACTATACGGCCCCTATCAAACTCACTAAGTTGACGAAGTCGTACAGGTCTCCGTACTCTAGGCATTGTAACCGATCGTAAAGGATGTCAAGAACCAAAATCCGCCAACATTGATTCTTTACTGCGGCTGAAATATTCATTTTTAGAGCGTTAGTAAATTAAAAAAAAGCAGTATAAAAACCGGAATGTCCAACTGATCAGGCTGAACATTTTTTCACTTGTTATTTACAGTAAGATAAATACATTCACCAACTTTTATTAAAATAAAACCATTTAAACTGGGTGTTCGGATTTATATGTCACTTAGTATAGTTATATGGTGTATAGTGCTGATTGAGATTCCGTCACTTGCAGTGTCATGGGGTGGTTTCTATTGGCCATATACAAGGAAAAAAACTGGAAACCTGGCAAAAACAAGTGAAGGGAATGCCATAATAAATGTGTCAAGATTGTTAGATCCTCACTGTCACTGAATACCATTTGCACGTCCCTCTTTGAAAGGTTAACAGAATTTGATGTATGTATGAAATGACGTTCTGATGAAGAATCCCAAAGGGCACAAAGTTTGATAATGAACAGATTCAAGCTAATGTAGCATCTGAAACGTATCCTGTAGTTTTCATGTTGATAATCCCCCATTTTTATTTGGCCGAATCAAAACAACACATGTTGAAAATTCCTCGTCATTGTACGACGTTTTGGTTCTCAAAGTGACACTCTTCAAGTATTGACACCTTTTTGACAATATCTTTTATTTATTTGTCTTCCAGGTGAGACTTTGTATGTTTTTTTCTACAATTTTCTGCTAGTAGTTACTACAATGGTCTAAAATGCCCTGTTACATACTGAGATTGTGTGAAGCTATCCTTCCATTTTAAAATGACACCGCGCAACACCAATAGAACCCACGATCTGGGGTAGGCATTTCAGTTCTCAAAAAGACTTCCAGGCGTTCAAAGCTTCAAGCGAGTATGTCAATTTTTGATGTACCAGACACGCCATCCTCATCCATCGTCCCGGAAACGCCAAAAGCCCTCCGAAAACGCGAATACTCACCCAGAATTGTTAATTGTGTTTCAATAATTGCCTAAATTGATGCATGTGCGTAACATATAAAAAAATCAGATAAATTCACAGAAACCATTCTTGCATTTAAGGCAGATATGCAAGTCCATTACACTTGTACCACGTATACCTTGGCACCCGTTGAGTTTTGAGGTTTATGCTCTTTAAAACATTTGTTCAGGATGCCAAAACACCCAAGATTTCGCAAATTCAGTCATATCAGCCGAAACCACTCTTCTAGATAGAGCAGATAGCTGTTAAGTTTAGCTACTTGTCCCTATTAAAGCCTTTGCTCAGGGCGCTGGGACATATTACATATAAAAAAGTAGATAGATGAATATGTCCGATACTCCAATATGCTGACTTGGGACCCGTCGAGTTTGGGAGCCTGTGCTCATCAAAACATTGGAGACGCTAAGGCGCATAACATAAAAAATCAATCTATTTAAAGCCATTTTTTCACATTCTTCAGGCTTTGCCACAGTAAAACTTCATCAGCATCATTTTGTAGCCTCGTTTTTGATAATTATTAGTTATGGCACAATAACAAATAGTATACTAAGTGACATGTAAATCCGAACACCCAGTTTAAATGGTTTTATTTTAATAAAATTTTGTATAAGTACTTAATGAAGCATAATAAGTAAATGATAAAAATTTCAAAATGATTGCACTGCTTTAAAGCCCTTTGACCTTTAATAATGTGTGGATGCACCCGGATGTGCTACGCATTCTCCAACGCGCCTAGACATGCTTCTGATCAGGTGGTCAATGTCCTGCTGTGGTATCTCATTCCAGACAACCACCAACTCCTCTCGAAGTGCTTCTAGAGTCTGAGGAGGACGTTGCAAATTGACCAATCTCCTACCCATCATATCCCACACGTGCTCAATTGGGGATAAGTCGGGAGATCTTGGTGGCCATGGTTACAATGTGACATCATTATTTTGAAAGAAGTCTATTGTGACGCTTGCAACATGTGGTCGGGCATTATCTTGTTGGGAAAGTTGGATCTGCCAGGGTGTCAAGATAGGGTAAAAGATGGGGTTCTAGAACTTCGTGGATATAACGCTGCGCGTTCATGTTACCTCTGATGAAGATTAAAGGTGACCTGGAACCATAAGCTATAGCACCCCAAACCATAACTCCAAGAGTGTGATGAACATGTCTTTCAACAAAAAACTTTTGGATTCATCCTTTCACCACGTCGCCTTCTAACCCTGGCACGACCATCGTGCATGCCTAAACAAAATCGAGACTCGTCACTAAAGACAATACTGTTCCATTCCTGATCCCAGAGTGACCGTTGTCCGCACCACTCAAGGCGATTACGTCGGTGTTCTCGAGTTAAAGGGAGGACCCAGTGTGGCCGGTATGAAAACAAGCCAAAACTTCTCATTCGTCGGTAAACACTTCGCATGCCAATAGGTCTTCCGTGTTCTGCAAACCATTCATTTGCAATGGACCTGGTAGTGGAGAAACGGTCCCTTAAGGCCAATAATCTTAGGCGGCGATCTTCACGGTCTGTTGTTCTACGGCGGCGTCCAGTGCCCCTTGCTCTTTGCGTACGGCCTTCTCGAAGCCATGCCTGACAACACCTAACCACAGTGTCTACACTTCTTTGCACTCTAACTGCAATTGCCCGAAAAGAAAGTCCAGCTTCCCGAAGTCCCACTATACGGCCCCTATCACTCACTAAGTTGACGAAATCGTACAGGTCTCCGTACTCTAGGCATCGTAACCGATCGTAAAGGATGTCAAGAACCAAAATCCGCCAACGTTGATTCTTTACTGCGGCTGAAATATTCATTTTTAGAGCGTTAGTGAATTAAAAAAGCAGTATAAAAACAGGAATGTCCAACTGATAAGGCTGAAAATTTTTTCACTTGTTATCTACAGTAAGATAAATACATTCACCAACTTTTATTAAAATAGAACCATTTAAACTGGGTGTCGGATTTATATGTCACTTAGTATATTTTTGTTTGTGTATGTAGGTACTACTGAAGAACGCTTTTGAAGAACAGGCTAAGGAACTGGCTAGAAAAGTAGACCTCATCAACGAAATAAAAACGCTGCATGAGGTAGCGATGAGAGTAAACGCCGAGAAGGAGTTTGATCCGACAGAAACTCCCAACTTGGGCCTGATGTGCGAGATGTCTATAGCGGAGTTGCAAGAACGACTTGCGATTGTCAGGTGTAAGATGAAAGAAGAGCTTGAAGAGAAAAGAAAAAATATATTGAAGAGAAAAACAGAGCAACAAGATATGTTAGACAATTTGAAACAATTTATCGAAGATAGCAAGAAAACGCCAAAATGCAAGAGTGTTACAAGCCTTATGCGACGCGATAGTATTACTGTGGTGGAAAGTAATCCAGAACTGGCTGAGTTAAGGAGAAAGCTTGAAGAAAAAAGGAGCATGAGGATGAAAACAGTGTTCTGAGTTGTTGTACGCAAATGGTGAATCAAAAACAGTGACGGTATTTCGAGGGCAGAAAATACTTAATAAATATGTAAATATAATAAGTGACTCGGAAGGGTCATATAGACATGGGTTCTAAAATAACCACTTCCGCAGCAAGTTGTATCTACTCAATAGAGAATAATACCTTTCGATAGGATTTGATAAAAAAATCTATATTCATCAAGTGGCCAAGAGACCAAGATATATAATAATAATAATAACCGTCTTTATTATTGACATAAGACATTGACAAAATGGTAAGTGAACATAAGTACATCCAGTGTCAATAACAGGCGAAGTTCAGTTTGATTAGTACACAGTACCAACAACCTGCTCTTCCACTTAGCCCAGTATCCTCTACGACATATGACATCCGATAAACCGATAATACATACATGTCACTATAAAAGAGGGACATACCTACACGCTAACAAAAAAAAAACAATCATTCAGTCATTCATGCGGTGCTACTGTTTTTGCAGCAGTTCCTTTTTACACATGGCTTTGAAGTTATCTATTCTAGAAAATTTTAGTTCCTTCCGGACTGAGTTGTAGACTTTATACAGGGTGGCCAAACACGTGACGTCATAAAAAAAAAATTAGATTCCCCACATCGAGAGGAACCCAAATCATCCCCATATATATGGTCCGATTTTGTTTAGTTTAGGAGTTATGATTTTTTTTCGGATTTTTCGAGAATTTTTGAGTTCTGTGTTTATTTTTACCATAACTTCGTTAATAATTGTGATAAATGCCTGCTTTTTTGACGATTATGTAGCTAAGACCTAAGGCTTAACTATCATATAATCATTCAAGTCATGTAACTAATACTACTTTTTAATTTTTTTTTAAATCTTCGAACATAACAAAAAAGTAAAAAAGTGCAACAACTTTGAACGTTTATAAAAAATTGAAAAAACATGTTCTTACTATTCGTAAGTATCTTAAAAACTTCCTTACGGTATCAGCTATTTACCGTAAAAATTTCATCAACCTAGCTTTACTACATGCTACCGTAATTGTGGCTCAAATAGAACCGAACCCAAAATTGGATAACCCTCTGCTCAATAGAAATTGTTAGTTTCGGAAAAAAAATTTGCAAAAACCACAAAAACACGTTTGATTTTTACTGAACAGCAGATTATTATTCATTTATGTTATTTACAAGAGGTTTTCAAAATGTCTGCCTCTAACAGAAATGCACAGTGTACACCTACGTATGAAATTTTGTTTTAAATCTCTAAGTGCTTGTGTGTTGTTTTTCAACACATGTGTCGCTTCTTGAATTTTGTTCCTCAATGAATTTTCATTCGCACATTCTTGGGCGAATGTTATGTCTTTAAAATATCCCCAAACAAAAAAATCAATGGGGTTGAGGTCAGGGGAGCGTGGAGGCCATCGTATCGGTCCGTTTCGTCCGATCCATCTGTCTGGGAACCTTTCGTTTAAGTAGTTTCGCACGATCGTTGCGTTGTGGCATGGTGCACCATCATTCTGGAACACCATGTTCCGTCTGGCTTCCAGGCTTGAATCTTCCAGCAATAATGGTAGGCTATTTTCAAGGAAGCTTTTGTAGGCTACCGAATCCAACCTTGACGGCAGTTCAAATGGACCGATAAACGTCATCACCACCGACCAGCCACGTCATCTACGGCACAGGACACGTCAGCCGTTCTGGTATAAATAACCCCGAAAGGCTAAGTCACCTGCAGACGAAATAAGAGGCCATATCAGCCGAAACCTCGTGCTCTAAAAAATTGGATATTCCGGGACTCTGCTTTGCATACTGATTTGGACTTTGTTTGCTAAGAAGTTTGTGATGCATTATACGTTGCGTGAATATGCAGAAATGCATTATTATTCTGGCGTTGCTCAAGGCAACGGCGCTTTAGCAGCTCAGCTGTACCGGGAACAACTTATACGCCGAGGCGGACCACAACCTGAGCATTACCCAGACCACCGTGTTTTTATTAACACACATAACACTTTCATGGCAGGCCGCATTCCAGGACGAGGAAGCAATGAAGGATATCCTACAGCTGATCCGGATCGCAGAGAAGTAGTACTTGAAGAAATTAGCCGGAATCCCTCAACGAGTACGAGATCTATGGCACAAAACCTTAGAATACCACGAACATCGATACAAAATATTCTTCATGAAGAATGTTATCATGCCTATCATGTTCAAAGAGTTCAAGCGTTGATGCCTTCAGATTACCAGTTAAGAGTGGATTTCTGCGAGACAATGCTGCGAAGACAACGAGAGGATCCCGATTTTTTTGATAAAATTTTATGGACTGACGAGTCACGTTTTGAAAGAACAGGGATATTCAATATCCATAATTTACATACTTGGGCTGTTGAAAACCCCCACCAGTCAAGGCCGTCGACATTTCAACACCGTTTTAGTGTGAACATGTGGTCAGGAATATTCAATATGGAATTTATCGGTCCATTTGAACTGCCGTCAAGGTTGGATTCGGTAGCCTACAAAAGCTTCCTTGAAAATAGCCTACCATTATTGCTGGAAGATTCAAGCCTGGAAGCCAGACGGAACATGGTGTTCCAAAATGATGGTGCACCATGCCACAACGCAACGATCGTGCGAAACTACTTAAACGAAAGGTTCCCAGACAGATGGATCGGACGAAACGGACCGATACGATGGCCTCCACGCTCCCCTGACCTCAACCCCATTGATTTTTTTGTTTGGGGATATTTTAAAGACATAACATTCGCCCAAGAATGTGCAAATGAAAATTCATTGAGGAACAAAATTCAAGAAGCGACACATGTGTTGAAAAACAACACACAAGCATTTAGAGATTTAAAACAAAATTTCATACGTAGGTGTACACTGTGCATTTCTGTTAGAGGCAGACATTTTGAAAACCTCTTGTAAATAACATAAATGAATAATAATCTGCTGTTCAGTAAAAATCAAACGTGTTTTTGTGGTTTTTGCAAATTTTTTTTCCGAAACTAACAATTTCTATTGAGCAGAGGGTTATCCAATTTTGGGTTCGGTTCTATTTGAGCCACAATTACGGTAGCATGTAGTAAAGCTAGGTTGATGAAATTTTTACGGTAAATAGCTGATACCGTAAGGAAGTTTTTAAGATACTTACGAATAGTAAGAACATGTTTTTTCAATTTTTTATAAACGTTCAAAGTTGTTGTACTTTTTTACTTTTTTGTTATGTTCGAAGATTTTGAAAAAAATTAAAAAGTAGTATTAGTTACATGACTTGAATGATTATATGATAGTTAAGCCTTAGGTCTTAGCTACATAATCGTGAAAAAAGCAGGCATTTATCACAATTATTAACGAAGTTATGGTAAAAATAAACACAGAACTCAAAAATTCTCGAAAAATCCGAAAAAAAATCATAACTCCTAAACTAAACAAAATCGGACCATATATATGGGGGTGATTTGGGTTCCTCTCGATGTGGGGAATCTAATTTTTTTTTTATGACGTCACGTGTTTGGCCACCCTGTATATTTGGTATGTGAAGCTCCGTTTGAAGATTGACGTTCTAAACTTGGGTGGCGAAATAAGACCCTTACTTCTTACGTTAATGTTATGAACGTCAGTCCGGTAGGTTATTTTTTGATAAAGATATTGGGGTGTTCTGACTAAAATTAATTTATGATAAAAAACAGCAGAGTGGAGGAGCCTACGATTTTCCATATTTAACCAACCTGCATCTTTCAATTTGTGAGATATTCTATGTCTCCTCTGTTACCAAATGCAAGGCGCGCAAGCATGAGTTTTGAACCAGTTGAACTTTACGTCGATACAGGTTAGTTAAGTGTGGGCCGTAAAGCACATCAGCGTAGTTGAATAAAGATAATACTAAAGTATCACATAGCATGATCTTAAGTTTTAACGAGAGAAAATTTCCGGCTACCGTAAATAAATTTCAACGACAAATATGCTCTCTGCATAATTTTGTTGATGTGATACTCAAATCGAAGATTACTATCAATCACAACACCTAAATTTTTTACATTGCCCATTATTTTGAGAGTTACACCATTTATCTCAATTTTAATAAGATTCTCTATAACATTTTTATTTTGTCTAGGTCCAAAAACAATTACGTGAGACTTTGATGGATTTATTATAAGACAGTGGCGTGTGGCACATTCTACAAAGGAGTTTAGCTCATTATTAATGATCAACGAGAAACGATCCATCAATTGTGGGGGGAAGCTGCAATAGATTTGGGTGTCATCAGCGTAAAAATGCACATTACATAGACTAAGGCAGTGCATGAAATTAGATGTATAAATTAGAAATAGGAGTGGTCCAAGTATGGACCCTTGGGGTACGCCGGATTTCAAATTTAAAGATAAAGACTGAACTCCATTTAAAACAACTGTTTGTTTCCGCTTAGTGAAGTAGCACTGAAATAAATCTATAGCGTTTTGAGAAAGACCAATATGATGTAAAATAGCAAGCATTAATTGATGGTTTAAAGTGTCAAACGCTCTGCTGAAATCCAGCAGAACAAGAACAGTACACTCGCCACGATCTGTAGCTCTAATTATGTCGTCTGTTACATGACGTAAAGACGCCGTACAGCTATGATTTTTCCTAAATCCAGACTGTACAATTGGCAGTAATGAAAATTGTGACAAATGATAAGAAAGTTGCTCCTCCATTGCACGCTCAAGTAATTTAGAGAAAAATGGTAAAACACTAATCCCTCTGAGATCTTTAAGATCTGAAGGATTAGGTTTTTTTGGCAGAACACAGACATTTGCTTGCTTCCACAGATCAGGGAACTGATTATGCGTAAAACAAAAATTAATTATATGAGTTAAATAAGGAATAATATGAGGGCAACATAGTTTAATAAAATTTAAATTAAAACCATCGCAACCACGAGCATTAGTTTTAATACGGCAAATTGCTTCATAAACAAATAAATCATTAACTTCTTTGAATTCAAAATTTGAAGTATTCCTCCTAGTATTTCTGTAGAAATTTATTAAGTTAGGAGAAGGCTGTATATTAGGTATACTGTTAACAAAAAAATTATTAAGTTCATTGACATCATTAAAGGAATTTGGAATGGTGTTATCCTTTTGAGAGACTATTCCATTGTTCCTTAACCTTTTCCACATTTCTGCTGAACTGCAACTTTCTAATATGTATGTATAATAAGATTTTTTTTCTCTGATGATAGCAGCATTAACTAAATTACCCAAGTCCTGATAATATCGCAAATAAGCA